CAGGTGTGTTTAATTGAGGTTGGAGCTAAACTCTTCAGGACACCGGCCCTCCAGGACCGAGTTTGGGCACCCCTGCTCTGAGCCCTTGAATGAGACACTTCACCCATGTCTAATGGCCGCCCATGCTATAACCCCATCTCTCTCCTAGTCAAACAAGAGTAAAGAGTTGTAAAAACCCTTGAGTAAAGTGGGAATGAATGGAGAACGAAACTTAAAGGGAAAGAAAAAGACTTTTAAACTTCATTGAGAGTAACCGCCACATATAGCATGACTGAATTCTTGCTGAGGCTGGCAGGGCTAAATGAGCAGGCGAGTCTGAAAGCCTCACTCCGTCGCAACATGTATGGAAACAAAATGAGTTGCCTTACTGTGACGGTTTCCTCTTTTGTTGTGATTGCCGCTCTAGACCGAGATGGAGAACCTGTCTGAGGGGGTGGAATAACAATGCGAGAAATAAGGGAGAAATGAAACGCTGAGAGCCGCAACTGAGAGATAGACAGAAAGATCGAGAAGGGAAAGGGGGAAAAACAACACTTGAAGTGGACGAAAAAATGAGACACCTGACAGGACCAACAAATGACTTTGCAAGGGCTGTCGGGACATAATGGATTTCTCTCACACACACACACACACACACACACACACACACGAACATGATTATTTCCCATGTGTCCATTAGAAAGCGCCAGGGCCGTAATTGTTTTCTTTGACCTGCTTGTTATCGCCCTGCTCTTGGGTTGCCAGGTTTCAGTGCTCCACTCTTGCCCTCTGACAAGCTGTCACTCAGTGGCCTGTTTAGTATTCGAGTGAGAGCGAGAGAGAAAGGAAGACTGTCAGAGGTGTTATCTGCATGACTGTGCTGGTCTAATCTTCCCCACTTATTCTATTTGGCTGACTAAATGACAGCTCAATACTGGAGTGCGGGCCAGGTCCACTATAAATGAGACATCTCCTCCTCGTACTGTACAGAGAGCGGAAACCTCTGGAGCAGCCATGTTTAATGTCTGAGGAGGCTAGTCAGAGGTGTAAATAGTACCTAAAAATCATACTTGAGTAGAAGTACAGATACCTTACAGTGAAAATTACTCCACTACACGTTACAAGTCACCAATTCCAAAACAACTTGAGTTAATAGGAAGTGACATAAAAGTCCAGGGCAAGGCACGGAGAGCATGAAACAAAAACAAAAAAGAGTTGATTTGTGAGGAGAGCACGTTTATTTTCTAAAACCAAAATAAAGCTGAACACCTCAAAATTACAAAACAAACAAAAACAATATCTTTCAAAAAGGTCTCTTCAGTATAATGGATAAATAAAATAATTTTAAGTAAAATTAAAAAGCCGAAGTGAGTTTAAAATATTCTAGCTGAACCCCGAGCGTGAGTTTTTTTTTAGGCGACAGTTATTTTAGAATGTATTGCCCATTTCCATGGCGGCGCGTCATGCTTGTCATGTGACACAACGCAGCCACAATAGCTCTGTATGACACATGCATCGCTTTTATTTAGTTTTTCCGGTTTTATTCAAAACGGGTGATGGGCGCCGCCATGTTAGTTCGCGCTGCATCAGAGCTGTGGGATTTACAACGTGCAAATTCATCCTCTCCTCCCGAAACACGTTAAATTAGGTCTCAGGTAAACTGGGAGAAGAGCAGAGTAAACTTTATAGTTACCCTAATTACATTTACACCTCTGAGGCTAGTCAGTGTGTAAAGGGATAGTTCACCTAAAAAAGGGAAAGTTTGCCCTCTTCATCTATTTGATGTTCCTCAAACCACATATTCCCCTGTAAGACATGTTTGTGAAAAACAAAGTTGCTTTCTTGTACAGTGAAAGCAGGGCCAAAAACTAACTTTTTGCCAGACCTGCCAATGGCCGGTGACTTAAGGAAATTTACTGGCCAGAAATATTTTTTACCAGCCACGTAAAAAAAAAAAAAAAAACAGGCCGTTATGACACCAAAATTTTAGATAATAGCAAAAAAAATCACAGTCCCTTGATTCCAGTTTCAATACTAAAACTACTAGCTTAACCAATATAAATTTAATAGTCTACATTTTTAAAGACTAGTAAATAGTCAGTTGTAAGATAAGAGCAAATCAAATTACAAGCAATAGCACAACATAGCCTACTATACAACAAAGATACAAAAGGAAATGGTGCATTTCAGTGCAGGTAACAGTGATCTTCAGGTAGCCTACAGAAATTTTTATAAATTTTGCTAATCAAATAACACTATAGTCTTTATATATATTTTTTAAATTCAAGAGCAGTGAGTGATTGTTTTTTTTTCTTTGTTCTATTTTCTTTGATCAACATTAAAATCGCAGACAACAGTAGGATTATTGGAATTCTGTGTCTATCACTTTAACACCGTGTCAGCAACACAGCAGCTGGAAGTTGTCAACACTGGATGCGACAAAGCGGCCGTTGCTTGGACTATTTCAGAAATAGAATGGGAATCTGTTTACTTTCTGGGATTTGTCGTGTCGCGCTGCGCCGCATCCAGTGAGACAGTATCACTGATTATAATGGGTTCTATTGTCTTTTGACGCATTGTGTCGAGTGTGGTTCGTGTCCGGTTTCTTTCTCAGCTGTTCATGTTCACTTAAGAACTAACTATTTTACTAGGATACTTACCGAGACGGGCATTTTTTAAAATAATTTTGTGTGAATTTGTCTGTTCAAGCGCAGGAAGGAAGCAGAGCTCAAGATGCGGCTTTCAGGCCGGGGTTTCAGATGTTTAAACTTCCCACACAGCGCGAGAGTAACGCGTGTCCTTTCGTGTGTTCTAGCTCTTGCATATTTACATTGTAAAGCTTAAACTTTTGTGATGAAGCAACACTGACCCGTCAACTGTACGGAGCGTCGGTCACATTTGTTCATGTTTATGTTCTCACAACATTGCACTGTTAGAATTTATAAAAATGTTACCGGCCATCTGGCGACTGACACAGTTTCATATACTCGCCAAAGCCGATTTTTACTCTTATTTGGCGCTTGGAGAGTATTAATTTTAGGCCCTGAGTGAAAGTGAATCATGGCTATTGAGAAAGTACCATTAAAAAAAACTATAAATATACTGTATATAATGACCTTATTTACAGTACACTTACTGCACAACTGTGAACGTTTATTGGTTGGTCTATGTAATATTTCATCAAAATAATATTATAATTTGTTCAGCCTCTGAAACGACTTTCCTTTTCAGCTTTTCTCTAAATCCTCTTAATTTTACACATAAAATCATGTTTTAATTCAACATTCAACATGACATGAAAACTGACCCCATTTACTTCCCTAATGCATGTTCTTGGTCTTACTGTGAATGATTCATCAGTGCAAGTTATTATTATTATTTTTTGCTGGTCACCAAACCCTCTTTTCTCAACCACCTGTCATATAGAGACTCTTTAAATTCCAATCTTTAACTCCGTCTTTAATTCATTCCGGATGGATACAATGAGGTTCCAGCCTACCTAATTATAAATGTATATTTTTTTTTCTCTGGTTTGACATGCTGCTTTTTCTTGGATAGGTTTCATATAATGTCACCTACGTTAAATTAATTAAGCATGTGACTCTGTCTCTCCAGCAGGGTCATATTCATTCTGGATGGGCAGAAGGGCCCTCTCTGATGTCCAGGGTGTCAGGGGATTTAATGTGTGATAAAAAGTAAACATTTTTTTCTTCTACTGTGTGTGCATGGCCGGATTTACAGACATTCTCTCTGAAAGATTCATAAGAGTTTAAGAGGAGAAAGAAAGAGAGAGGTCGAAAGAGACACTGCTCCTGTGGGATAAAAAAGAGACAATGCCAAAGAGAGACAGAGGAAGACAGGAAGAGAGATGAAATTGTAATGAGAAAAAAGAAAATCCCAACAAAAAAGTACCACAGAACTACTACAGCTAAAGATATATATTAAAATGAGAAAGAGAGAGAGAATTGTGTTTTATATATAGTTGCATTGTGCATTAGATACCACAGAACTACTACAGCTAAAGATATATTTTAAAATGAGAAAGAGAGAGCGAATTGTGTTTTATATATAGTTGCATTGTGCATTAGGACACAATGTGAAGTATTCTCTCATATGAGGTGTTTTGAAATATGAACCACTTTGCAACTGCTCAACATTTAATAAATTCCGGCACTTGCTTAAAATATTTCTGGATGGAATTAGCTATCTGGCCTGACATTCTTTTTATTCACCTCTTTGTGGGTTGGAGATTGAGCTGTTTTGTTGCTGTAGCATGTGAGGCTCAATTACAGCGTCATTAAAGAGACACAGGCTCATTTGATGCCCCATCAAATCACTGTCAGTCTCCGTTCAGCGCTGTCATTGTAATGCTCTCAGAATCAATAGAGCAATAAAGAGCTTTTGACAAAAACAGCGAGGGACTCATTTGAATGTGACACCTTATACCTCTCTGTCCTGAGCACACAAGCAGGGGATGGATTTCTATTCACGGCTGTAAATGTCTCAAAGAAAGCATGCTAAGAGGGTCCCATTTAGACCAAACCATAAAAGATGGGAGGAAGAGAGACACAGGAAAGAAAACAAAAGATGCTTTATGATTTTACTATAGTTAAGGGGTGTCATTAGAGGCAGTATGAATCATAGAAAGGTTATTGTTAATAATAATAATAATAATAATAATAATAATAATTGCAATCGCAATTCTTTCACCATATTATTAGTCAATGAGCTTTGAAAAATGGACCTGGTGCAGTAAGTGATGTCCTGTCACAGATTGGCTTATTTTGGCTTCAGATGGGTCTTAAAATTAGATTTCAGAGCTGGAACTGTTGGTTTTTATTAACAATTATTATGCAATTAACTAAGTACATGATTCTGTGCTGTATTGTGGATATACACATAGTGAGGTATATGCCATGTCTACATTTACAATAAAGTAAGGCCTTGAATGTTTTATTGCTAATAAAAGTAAAACGTTTTCATTAAAGCATTATTTTATTAAGCAAATGTATTACCATCTTCCTCTTCCTTCAATTACAGTTTTTGTCACAGTTGTTACTATATTGGGTTTTTAGAATTCTTGGAGTGTTATATTGACCAATCAGCATTCAGGACAGGAACTATTTGTTTTCTAAATATATTTATGTAACCAATGGAGACAAAGTATGTTGTTGCACTTCTAGCAGGGCTGTAATGCTACATTCAAGTCATGATCGTATTTTATATGATGAACGACATGAAAAAAAGTCATACATTTATGTTTTGCATCCGTGTTTACAGTGTGTCAATTAAATAACAATGGCAAAAATAAATTGTTATTGGTTATAATAATAAGTTGTAATTGTAAATGTTTGTTGTATAATATAGTTTGTATGCGTTTTGTGTGTTGTACTGCTCATGAAGGACAGCAATAAAGCTTGCCACTAGTCATTTAGCCGGTTTATGAGGCGCCAGGCTTGTGTGAACAAACTACATTTGCCATCATTCTTAACAGCATCATGAAATGCACAGATAATGCATCAATTACAAATCTGATGATGAGCATCATTTGCTCTTTATTTTGTTGCAGTAGTGCTAAAAAGCTTTCTTTGTCAGTAAGGGTAAAAGGGGAAAAAAATGCACATTGCATTTATGACTTCTGAGCTTGTAAGTACGAACTTCCCAGGAGGACTTGATCACAGCAGAAACTCACTGTTTGTAAGCAGGATTGAATTGAATCGGGCATAGATGTTCCTCAGAGAGGGAATGAGGGATGGAGGGGTTGAGATAAAGAGGATGAGGCTAAGGTTTTCTGGCAGTGGGTTATTCAAGAGGTGGATGAGAGAGAGAAAGAGGAAGGTGTTGGCAGAATGATTCAGATGGTGCAGATTTGGAGAGCTGAGCAAACATCATATGGATAGCATTGAGAAATATCCTGTCCTTCTGTTTACTCTACAGGTCTCTCATGGAGAGGAACAAACTCAAAGAAACCTGCACAGATGTGTGTGCGAATGCATACGTGGTAATTGCCATCAGTGAATCTATCAATAAAAATTCAGTCTAATTGGATTGAGATGGAGAGTGTCTTGAATGTGAGTTTAGATTTGATTAATTGATAATTAAATTCGTTATTATGAAGACAGATTGCATGTGGTTGTAAGCGAATCTTAATTTGAATAGCGTTGGAAAGGTGTTGAAGGACCCCATTTTGGTCCGGCTGTTAATTTCTTTATGTGGTAATTATACAAAAAACAGCTGTTTCTTCATTTATCACTTTGAACGAGGGTTTATCTCTCAGTTTAGTAGCTGACTAATGAAGATCTTAGGGTCTGCACTAAGTTTAATGTGCTAAAGGTCACACAGACTTTGAGATAGAAGTTTGTGTGCTAGCATCATGAACGAGTGTGCAACTTCTTTTGTGTGTGTTTATTTATATTTATATATGAAAAGATTTTAAATGAATGTATGTATGTATATATATATATATATATATATATATATATATGTATGTGTGTGTGTGTGTGTGTGTGTGTGTGTATATGTATGAATGTATTAAGGACATATGTATTAAATATTTAAATTAAATTCATGAATGAATGTATAAAAAAAGTATTGAAAGAAAATGCAAACAAACATACTAATCAAACTCATTAACCTACTAGTTGATTGTTGCCAACTAGCCAACCATCCTGATAGGGCTGGGCGGTTTTCCCGATTTTATCGATTAATTCGAATTTAATGTTTTGCCACGATTTTATTTTTTATAAATCGAGGAATCGCGATTTGTGATAGAAATATTACCAAATGTTAGAATTAGACACTTTGACAATATGCCGGTGATAACTGTAAAAAGAAAAGAACGATCCATCCGCATGTCGGCACACGTGATTAACCGCTCACGTGTGACGCGCTCTGTGAAGGACAAGAACCATAAATATAGCGCCAAGCGCCATTCTCACAGAATGCGCTTTTGTGTTGACAAAGATGCGACGCGGGCAGTGGAATAGGTAAAACATGCAAGAAGATGGTGTGTGTGTGTGTGTGTGTGTGTGTGTGTATATGTATGAATGTATTAAGGACATATGTATTAAATATTTAAATTAAATTCATGAATGAATGTATAAAAAAAGTATTGAAAGAAAATGCAAACAAACATACTAATCAAACTCATTAACCTACTAGTTGATTGTTGCCAACTAGCCAACCATCCTGATAGGGCTGGGCGGTTTTCCCGATTTTATCGATTAATTCGAATTTAATGTTTTGCCACGATTTTATTTTTTATAAATCGAGGAATCGCGATTTGTGATAGAAATATTACCAAATGTTAGAATTAGACACTTTGACAATATGCCGGTGATAACTGTAAAAAGAAAAGAACGATCCATCCGCATGTCGGCACACGTGATTAACCGCTCACGTGTGACGCGCTCTGTGAAGGACAAGAACCATAAATATAGCGCCAAGCGCCATTCTCACAGAATGCGCTTTTGTGTTGACAAAGATGCGACGCGGGCAGTGGAATAGGTAAAACATGCAAGAAGATGGGAGTGAACTTCTTTTAACTTGAGCGCAGTGTTTTTAGAATGGCGTTTCATGCATGAGACACTGCAAGAGACGCGAGCGCAACGGTCAAACACATCCATGTTTACACAGAAAAAACAATGGAAAAGCAGCGTAACCGAATAAAAAAACCTGTAAAGAACTACTACTGTATGTCTGATACTTCATGTTTGCATCATGGTGACAGGCTGAAAGCTGCTGTTGTTTTTACAGAACATTTATAGTTAATAGTAGTCTACCGGTGTTATTCCTTCAGTCATTTTGAATTTTAATTACCTTGACTTTTGAAATTTTTTAAAAGCATTTTCCTCGTATTATTTCTGAACACATAATATGTATATGACAAGTTTGTACAATATGTAGTTGATACAATATATCATGTTGACAACTTCATGTGTGCTGCACTTGGAATATAATTTTCTTTAACTGGAGGGTTAGTAAAGACAAAGTTACTTGAATCATGTTGTAGTTAAATTTTCAAGTTGACTAGTTAAAAATCTTAAAAAATCGAGAATCGGTCAAACATTCTGAAAAAAAAATCGAGATTTAAATTTTTGAACATCACATTAGTCATGGCCTAATGGTTAGAGCAGGGCTGTCCAAACTCGGTCCTGGAGGGCCAGTGTCCTGCAGAGTTTAGCTCCAACCCCAATTAAACACACCTGAACCAGCTAATCAGGCTCTTACTAGGCATAGAAACTTCCAGTCAGGTGTGTTGAGGCAAGTTGGAGCTAAACTCTGCAGGACACCGGCCCTCCAGGACTGAGTTTGGACAGCCCTGGGTTAGAGAGTCAGACTTGTAACCCAAAGGTCATGGGTTCGAGTCTCGGTACCGGCAGGAATTGTAGGTGGGGGGAGTGAATGTACAGTGCTCTCTTCCACCCTTAATACCATGATGAGGGGAGACCCTTGAGCAAGGCACCGAACCCCCAATTGCTACCCAGGCACCACAGCAAAAATGGCTGCCCACTGCTCCGGGTGTGTGTGTTCACTACTCACTGCTGTGTGCACTTGGATGCGATAAATGCAGAGCACAAATTCTGAGTATGGGATACCATACTTGACTA